TCGCAGAGTTACGCATACTAATTTCTTACGGGAACGTCAACTTTCGATAGGACAGAGACCCAGCGCGTCGAACGCGCCAATTAATGCAACGAGACCTAATTATTTGGCTTTCCGAAATATCCGTGTCTCGTTATAACCGAAAACTCGAACGGAACTTGCTGTAATTGATTATTTTTAACGGGAACGGTGCGTTACGAGCGCGAATTTCTTTTCGGAAAAATTGTACGGGACACTTGTGTAAATAAAAAATGTAACGTATGTTACTAATTTTATTTCTTGAAAGCCACCGGGATTAAATTTTGTTTACAGAGTATTGGAAAGCTACGTAATCAAGCATTTATTATGGCGTTTATTTTCGTAACGTTCTTCGATGAAAAGCACCTGTACATGGATGACGCGAAGAAACCATGGCGTGGACATCGGGACATTCGAGTGCCGATCGAGAAATAGGCCGATTACATCCTCGATAGAATTGTATTAAGCTTCGCGAGTAAAAATAACTAAAGAAAAAACGTCGTTCGCGCTGGCGAAGACTAGAACCGAACGGAGTTTCGAGTATCCGCCCCTCGATGAATCGAATAACGATGAGATGGTTCCGATCGTCGTACCTGCTCCTTGATTAACCCTGGGAAAAACGATAAAAAAAAAAACTTGCGAGAAAAAGGTAAAGCGGATAGCCCTCTGGTGGCGCGTACGAGATACACAGCCGCAGATCGATTACTCACATTCGGATTACCGGGATAAACCCACTTCGATAGGGCGAAAAGTTCGAATTCAGCCACAGGATAACTTACGATTCACAGTTATTATATTTGAATTTTTCGAGATTTCCGTTGACAAATAATCAATGGAATTATGATTTAACGCTAAACCTACAGACTTTTTTCAATTAAATGCAGAAATGTATATAATGAAACGGTAAAATTATATATGGTGCATATATTCCGTATAAAAGCAGCGTACAAAAGTTCGAATACGTTAATCGCGAACAAATTTCGATCAATTAACAGGAATGTTTGTATAAAATCAACTCGGCGCAATCGATACGTTGAATAACATAGCTTTTTATCTCGAATCGAAACGTAAACGCGTTAAGAGGCATTTACGTCGCACACATGAAATTCGTGAGATGTTAACGAGATTATCGATATCGATAAAAATTTCTCGGGCAACCGACCGATGGAATTCTGCCTGGTCTCAAGCGCGGGCCGCTTTCCGGTATAGTCGTTGCCACTCCCTCGAAAAGCTCTCGAGTTCGCGAAAGAGAAACACTACGAATCGCGTGCCGATAGATTTCACGATGGAACTTTTTTTTTTTTCTACCGTCGAGATCGGAACTTCGAACAGGATTCAAGTAATATTCGAATAAAAATCGATCAAAAATCGTAACTCGGCGGTCTGCGTGTTCAACGTCCGCTAGAATCTTCGCATAAAAAATTACGATTCATCGTTCGATGAACGAAACATCTTCCGCGCTATGACGGTTTTCTTTCGAAAAGGACGACAGCAGATTTTAATAATTGTCGCGTGTTTTTTCGTTTCTCGTTTCGAACGAACTTATTTTGAAGAAAAGAAAAAAAATAGCCTCTTATCCCGTTTCGAAAACATTTTTGTCTTTCGCGTAAACGAAACAACGAAATCGCCTCTTCGACGAACGGAATGAAAAAATAACGCGGTAGCTGTTTCAGTGAATCGTGCCAGATTTCGAGGAAAAGTATAAAAAAAAAAAAAAAGAAGAAGAATGTTATGTGTCTTTGAAGTTTAACTAAAAATAAAAAAAAAAAAAAAAGAAGAAGACGTAGCATTTCATGGCGCGCCAAGCTAATACGATAGGAAGCAGAGCGTTCCAATTTACGTATTCAGCGGAATTGGGCCAGAACATTGACCCTTTTTAAAGCACGTTTGAAACGCTCGGGTAGGTAATACTGCAGTCTCATCGCGTGAACGCATAATCGGCGATTTTTGTCCGGTTGCTGGAGGAGAGACTGCAGAAGCATAATGTCCGAAGGATGAAGACGAGTGGCCGTACCGAGGGAACTGAGCGTGGAATATATAATGTTTTAATTTCGCGGAAAATCTGATGATGTAATTTCAGGAGTAGGACGACGCCCAGCAATTGTTTCAGCCGGCTTTCACTCCTGCATTATTCATGAATCTTTTCTTTTTTCCTCGTCTACGGGAGGACCGCCTAACCTCTCTCCCTCCCCTCCCCCTCCCCGTCGCCCTTTCCTTCCTTCCTTCCTTCCTTCCTCCGAATCCATCCCCTTCGTTTTGTCTCCGCCACTTTCTGCCCCTCCCCGCACCCCTCCGTCAAGTCCTCGTATCTCTGCCCATCGTCTTCTCTCCCTCTCTTTCATTTCAGACAAAGGTCCGCGTCTCCGTCATTCTCTCTCCTTGCCTCTTTTTCATCGTTTCGTCGCTCTCGTTTGGCATACAAGGTGATTCTGAAATAGATACCCGAACGATAGATGCCGGCGTCTTCTGGTTACCTCGAAGCAACACTGGTTACAATTTGCAAACTAGATTTAACGAAACACATTTATACAGGGTGTCCCAAAAATGTTGTAACACCTTGAAAGGGGTGGTTCGGGAGGTGATTTGAAACAACTTTTTCCTTAGCGAAAATGTTGTTCGAGGCTTCGTTGAGGAGATATTAACGGAAAACACCGACCAATCAGAGCGCGCGTATACCGCTGGAGCGGCCGCTTAGCAGCACATAGCCTTCGCTACCGCGGCCGCTCCAACGGTATCCGCGCGCTCTGATTGGTCGGTGTTTTCCGTTAATATCTCCTCAACGAAGCCTCGGACAACATTTTCGCTAAGGAAAAAGTTGTTTCAAATCACCTCCCGAACCACCCCTTTCAAGGTGTTACAACATTTTTGGGACACCCTGTATAGACTTTTTCCTTCAAGCAAAGCTGAAGTCATCTGTGTGACGTCGCGCGAGGACAAAGTAACGATGAAATCCTTAAAAACATGGTCGTGATCACAACTCGAAAACATTCGATAACAATCGTATTCGTATTTGCGATTACGATTTTCCTCGTCACTGCTACGAGTATATAGGGTCGAAGACTTTTTCTATTTGATTCCATTCGAAGGTAGAGATGGAGAAAACCCTAGGCCTCGGATAAATCTGAAGTTTGCCGACGTGTTTGTCCCGTTTCCTTCTCCGGAAGATGTTCAAAAGAGGAAACGAGACAATCGTATCGGCAAACTTCAGATTTATTCGAAGCCTAGTGATTCGCCCATCTTCTGGTTTTCCCCATCTCTGGCCAACAGGCGCGTTCTCCATTGTTCTCCATACGCGCCTCTTCGGTACCCGTTGCTTTCGTCGATAGCCTTTTCGAACATCAAACGTTTTACAAGCTGGATCGCGGCTTGAAGTGACGGATACGTTTCTGAAGTTTGCGCAAACTATTTCAGGATCATCCTGTACGTAGAAGGTTGAAAGTGTTCGCGGCAGTGGCAGGCTGTCTGTAGCGTCTGTCCCACCGTGAAACCTGTCATTGCAGCCTTCTTTTCCTTCTTTTCCTTCTTTTGCGGCCGAGAACAGCTTCAAGGCACGAGAGAAAAAACGGTTAAGAAAATCGATCGAGACCCGCTCGCTCGCTCGCTCGCTCGCTCGCTCGCGCGGCGGAAAAACGATGGAGTTCCTTCCTCGAATTATGAAAAGTGGAATCTCGTTAAACTCTCCTCAGGGGCGAGAAAAAGGAAGGCGATACGCTCTCCTTCGAACTTTCGAGCCCCGCCTCGCCTCACCTCGACGTGATCGCGCTGCTGAATCTGCTGAATTACACAATTGGAGGATAATAAAAATCGTACAGAATAGGCATTGCATTGAGAAAATAAAGTTCTCTCGCGGGGTCTAAATACTCGATTCGACTATTAAGGGAATGTCTCCAGCAGAGCTGATCAAGGTGACGAGCATCGGAAGCCGCATTCGCCAAGTGTATTCAAGTAGATAGAACTCGATGATTAACACGTTGATCGCCACGTCACCCATTTATGGATGACAGTGCTTTTCACTGAAAAACTACAAAAATTAATTGTGAAAGTTAGGTGTCACAGAAAACGAATTTAAATGAAATTCTTGAACTTTGATGAAGTCACAAAACTAAATACCACAATAAATGTTTCATTACGCAGTTTCCAATAGTCTGTAAACAAAGTTTAATCACAGTAGACATTTTTAAGAGTATTAGTCTGACAGTAAACGTGTTGAACTATTTTAAATACCATCCGCAATTTCCTTAAACAATTTCAATCGCATTTCACTATAAAAATAAAAACTCTATTAGATTAAAAATTCTATTATGTTATCTTGTAAGAAATTCAGATCGTAAACATCTTTATCGTACAAAATATTAATAACGGCGTGATAACGAGTAAAAGAAAAGCGGAAAATAAATTCTGAAAATGATCGCAATATGCACGAATTCCGTAAAATATTTAAGCATTGGATAAGTGGAGCTAACGCGACGATGGAAAGCCACTAGTGGTATTTCGCGGAGAGAGAATTTCCTGGGAGAAATTATGACAATTAACGTAATTACAATGGTCGGTAGCTACTTTGAATTCGCGAATATAAATGTGCCCCGGTAAACACGCAATCGATATAGCTAGAAGCACCGTATTTCTCCTTGAACAAAGTGAAATCACGAGAAACGCTGCATTGTACTATACTCCGTGGATATGCCGAAATCTTCGAGCATGAGATTCTACAAAAAAACGGAAGGCATGTTTACCTTCGGCATGACGTGTTTACAGCGATTTAAGGTCGCGATGCTGTACTTGAGAGTCGGAAAATACTCGGTATAAGTAAAGACTATATGTACACATGCGTATATACACGGTCTCGTTTCTTGTGTAAAAATACGTCACATGTCATTCTCAAATATCAGAATATATCGAGTTATTCCGCCATGTTGGGATAACAAATTAGGATGGCAAAAAGGGAACCCATAAGTTACCGATCAAGGACAATTTTACAAAGAACACGTGTTACATAAAGAATTTATTTATTGTAAATTATTACACAAAGTATAAATAACTAAAGTTCATTCAAATTCAAGCGGATGGAATTACGTTGATACGACGCCGCTCCAAAATCCTTCGAGATAGATGTCTGGAATAAAACCTGATTCACATCTAAAAAGAAAAAAATATCGTTACCTCCGTCTCTTTAATGTTTTAATTAATTTTTTTTTAATCAATTGATCAGTTAGCAAATACTACTAATCATGGCATTCAGAGATCTTGGTGGTTGCAAATTTCATCACAAAAAATTAATAACAAACTAGACGAACATAACTGTCTATAGACTCACTTTCTTGCGATATCCTTGGTGCGAGTATTGGTCCACGCAGCTGAAAGAATTATGTTCGATTAGCAATCATATATTATTTTTATTGAAAAACTTG